TCCTTCTCGCGTCCGATATCAATTGAGCTGTGACCGAGTAGAAGACGAGGGGTGCATTCTTTCAATGGCTCACAAAATCTAACATTCACAAACGATCATGAATGACTAAAACTACCATATATCATCACTCTACGTTCTTTAACTTACGAGATAATATCATCTCTTCACGAACGAATTCGCTAGCACGATTTCTTCTAATCGGTTTCGTAATGCACGTCATCACACCACGACTGGATGAAGCTTGGTCATAATATATCCTAAAAAAAATATTAGTCATTCAAACTCCTCTTGGAATAGTTCACGGAAAATCAAGATCGTCGTCACAATCTAAATTTAAGACAAACCTTAACGTTCCATCACTGAGACCAACCAAGATCTGGTTCAACTTAGGATGCCAACTGATTTTCGTACAACTCTGAAAACATTATCACCAATCAATGCGCTTCAATTGTGGTAAGTTATGAGTAGGAAAATAGAGAGCAATGCCATTCTAAATATTAACTTACTACTCCCGGGTATTCAATTCTGTAGACAAGATCGAACGTATCCGAACTGAAAAACAGCAGCATGCCAGGTATATCCGTATTTGAAGATGAGGTACCAGTATATATCAGTTCGCCGTGAGGAGAGAATCCACAATCCGTGCTAAAGTTCTTGAAATGACAAATATAAGCGAACCTAACAAAAACCAGTCTTTTGTTTCTTTTGTGAAACAACGTTATATGAGACTAAACGAAATTCTTTTTATTCAACCGCTTCTAGAGGTGTTATGATGTTACAATTAGATACCCATTGATGTAGAGCGATGTGCAGAACTTTCGCGTCAGGCGGAACTAGAACCCGCACTTCACTCTTTCCGGCAATGCGTGCTCTATCCGTTATACTACTGACGCCCATTTTACACATCACTCTTTTATGTTATATGAGACTGTTTGTCATAATGATTGTTTGAATGAAACATAAATCACCACAGAACCTAAAATTTCTGAACTCGTAGCATTTCATACTTGGAAAGATAAAGCTCTTGGCGCTGATCAATCCCTAAGGGATGCACCATACATTCCACTTCATAAGGCATCATTTGAGATAATTTCAATGCGCGTCTGGCCTGTTCAATGACTCATGGCGGCCTACGGAAGTATGAAAGGCAGTGCTAAAATCCTCTCAAATAAGTTTGATACCAATTCACCGAACCGACCTCAGGAGGATGGAAGGCTTGATGAGCTTTGAGCGCAGTATAGAACTATCGACAATTTTCCCCTGACCACCACACCACGCGCACCCCATTTTATACTTTACATTTACGAATAACTATTCTTGAAGGTAAGATGTTGAACGCACATGAACGCTGAAAATCCTGGCAGAGTCACAAACCTCTTGAACGCATTCTCCAGGTCATACTTTTCGAGGATAGGAGCCTTGTTGTTTTTGATTGACCACATCTTCATAGAATCGTCCAGTCCTCTTGTCAAAATCCTTTGAGAGTCTGGGGAGAAAGTCATTGACGTGATCGGACCCTTATGAGCATTTCGCACAAGGTAGAACGTATTTACCTGAACAAAAAGAATTCTTCCCTACTACTACAAGATAGAAATACCGTAAATCACTCACATATAGATTCCCATATTTCCAAACTTGAATAGATCCATCGTCACAACCGGCTGCGATCAACTTTCCATCCATCGAGTAGCAACATGTCTGCGGCATTGCCCGCTTTCCATTTGCAGTTTTCGTTTTGATCACCTTTGGAAAAAAGGAGATAGAAGATACTCCTGACATTCTGTGGAAAGAGAGTAAACTGTCAAGTTAATCATATTCTTTTTTTACTAAAAGCGATAAAGGATGAAGCTCACGGCGTTGTGCGACCCCTGAGGGATTCGCCGTGTACTTTGATTTTTAACTTCGTTTGGGGTAATTGAATGCATATATGGCCTTTACAGTGGCACTCGATGGCCTGCCGATATATTAAGTCAATGCCGATGTCCTCTCAGACACTTTGGTACAAATTCACCGATCGCGAAAGGATTGAAGGCTTAGTAAGCCTTAAGCGCGAAATGAAACACTTACGACCTGTGCGACGCATACCACCTCTAACCACTGCGCCACATGCGCTCTCCATTGATTACTGAGAATAAACGAATTTGAACATTCCTCTACAGTACCTTCCTATGCGTATTGATTGTTTTCGTCATGATCTTGAAATCTGCTAGACTCCATAGCCGAACAGTTCTGAAATGTTTGACATGTAGAGGTACTAAATCTTCCTCGAGGATCGATGCAAAGCCTACCCGTCATCTCCACATGTCATGAATTCGTCCTTAATGATTGGATTGAACTGACAACAATTGATGGCTGCTGTATGTCCCTTCGTATGACTGACGTCGACGAGGTATTGATCCCCTAGAGAAGAACTTTATATAAGATTGATACGATTGCTTTTTTTTTGCAGATATTATAGAGGAAAAATTTAGTCGTAAAGATTTCTGTTCTTATAAATCTACGATATAACTGATAGGCTGCGAAAAGGGTTCAAAAAAGCTAAGTACAAACCTCGGACTGTTTCTGCCCATTGCTTTCCTGACCTATCCAGTAAATGAACCTGTGCTTTACTACTACAAATTAGCATTGTTTCTCCATTTGCGCTAAACGCTATGTCGTTTATTATGTGGCTGAAAATAGTGTTTTCGTGTAGAAGAAAGATAAGCAAACTCTAAAATATACTTGTACTACAAAGAAGTACAGGGCTTTATTGGAGTTCTCTCACCTCTCACAAGGAAAAAGTTCCTTATCTGCGCGTAAACTCATGTCCATCTTTTGAAAGTCGAAGAGCTTCACCTGGTAGTCAACCCCACCAGAAGCAAACCGTATCCCATTCGGCTCGAAACGAAGAGCTGATACCTATAGCTACGAGACCACCATCAGAGATCTTACTCTATGTGGAAACGAACGGTATGATAAAAGTCCGTATGAAAGTAACGCGGTTTTTCTTGAAAAACGTACCGGCTTCTTACTGTGAACCAGTTTAGCTTCACAAGAAGTAGGAATGAGATTGATTATAGGAACCTGAAAATAACAAATGATTCCAAGATAGACCATTAAAGTGCCATCGAAAGGAAGGGAAACTGCTTTGAATAGAAGCAGAAATCTAAGTGCAACAAGTGGTATACAAAATACTCGATTCATGACGGGAGTTGAACCATAACTACATGTGAAGCCGATATACGTTTAGCCATCCAAACCCACTGAGGGGTGGTTGTTGACAGCTTCGATAGTTTATCTTAGAGAAGCGAGGTAGCACTGCAGTGGCCTCGGTAGCACACACCCTCTGAACGGGTGGAACACGGGGTTCACCTTACGCCTGGGGACGAATGCTAAGCATACTAGTCAGTACTCTAGATGAGTATGTGTAACATCGTAACGTTGCTAAGAAGCAGTAAAAATAAAGTGTTCAAGTGGAAGCGGAAACAAATTTCTGTAAAAATTACCCCTTCTCCGGCATAATCCACAAAGTCTTCGTCATCAGCATCTCCAAGATCATCATCGCGATTGTCAGAGACACTGTTATTTACACTTACGCAATGAGCTGTAGATGTAATATTTTCGGAGACGATTACACTTTTGTCTGGCACAAAACCAGGAGGCATCATTGGCAAGAAATCTGAAGTAAAAGTCAAATTTTTCCAATGTAACGCCTGGAATCCAGCTTACATTTGAAGTTCTTAAGTGGTATGCAAAACATCGGACTTCAGGTCTGATGAACCTGCACTTTATCCACACCGAGGCGATGCCACTCAACACTCTCGAATGGGTATCTCTGTTATCCGCATGCTGTTTCAACATCTCCATAAAAACGCGTTTCTTAGATTTTCTCATTTAGTTTCAGTAATAATTCGATAGCTTATATCAAAGGAAATTGAACCGCGTTTTGTTTTCAAAACAGCTTTACCATTGCGCTCTAACAGCAAGAACAGAAATGGGTTTCTCAGTCAGATATTACTCGCTCAATGAAGCTTTTCCTTCAAATCTCCACTAACCAATCCATACTTCCAATCTCGGCAACTTCAATGACATATTCGGTGCTCGAGAAGAGCTTTTTATTACGCTGTAACAGCCAAAAGAATACTGAGCTTAGCAAATATTAATAATTTCCATTATCCCCCTTTTCTCGATCCCTTGGAACGCACCTTCTGATTTCTCCAGAGTTGTAACACATACCTAATAGCTGAAATCTCAGGAATTTCAATAGAGTATTTTGTTCCCGAAATAACTTTATTGCTGCGTTGTGACAGCAAAAATAAAGCTAACTTTCTCGTTCGAACATTTCTCGCTGCAGAAAGCTCTTCATTCAGACTTTAAGTAAAAGTCGATAACATTAATATCGGTTCCAAAGAAGTTACTGATTATGAGAAAAAACTTTTTAGTGCGGTATAGCGGCCAAAAGAATATTCAGTTTTGAGCAGCGCGACATTAGCACCAAACGATTAGCACGTCGATAAGATTTCGCCACATTCGTGCTAAGGCCCCGCGCTTCTTTCCGAGCCTAATTTGTGGAATCCAACTATCTTTCAATTATTACAGCGCACTAAGAAGTCCAAACCGAAGGCCTCATTGTAACTACTGAAAGTACAACTATCGAATGTTTACCGAAAGTCTAATTGAAAAGTTATGTTACGCTAAAAATGTTTGAATAAGGAACACAATTCCATCTTGGCTCTTACGGCGCTTACAGGCTCTATGATAAAACAATTCTGAAAATAAAGAACACCATTCAAATTTCTTTTGATCTAAGCCATCGAACGACTGCTTGAGCATTGCAAACCACTAAAAAATGCGCTTTTTTCGAGGAGGTCGAAATAGGAATGCGGATAACGGAAAGTATCTTTGAATGAATATTTACATCATGAAAGCAATAAAACAAAGAATCCACAAAGATTATAATGCTGGATGGCTGTCAGCACAACTGGGGTCTAATAGCATTATGTGCTTACAGAGAGAGTGGCGACCTCTGTGGTGCAGTGGTAGCACACGCCTCGGCATGGGTGAAACACGGGTTCAACTCCCGCCTAGGATCGGATGTCTTGCACAGCACTCAGCACTCTTACTGCATACCATCATAAAACTGATAAAAACAAGAGTTCCTGTAGATTAACAATTCGACCTACCATCCTCCTCACTGACGTTGCCACTGTCCTTTCTCAGATTGTCCTCCGTCTAAAACACAACAGCCTTAGAAAAATACCAAAAAAAAGTGGAAAAAAAATTGCGGAGAGAAGACTCACACTTTGGTATCAGGATGGGGCTTATTCTGAGAAAACTGTGTCTGAGCAGCCTGCGAATGCAAAACAATAAAAAAAATAAAAAGTATAAAAAAATGAAAGCTGAGAAAAGAAGTTTGACATTCCAGAGGTGCACAACTACTAATACCTTTCTGGTCTCCTCGAAAATCGCATTGAAATCGAACATACGAGCCTTTTTGTCCGCATTTTTTGTCTTCTTATCTGAAAGAAACCGAAGAGTAATGAAACAAATATAAAATGAATATAAGAGGTAGGCAATGGTTGTAAATGGCACTGGAAGTGTAAGGTCGTTCCACAAGTTTTGGAACTAGAGCAATAAATACCAAATTTACATTTCCTTCGAGTGCTTTATTAAGACCACGCTCAAATTTCATAGATCCTTTCATTATTATTTGAGCCAACATGTCATGTGGTCCGGTAAGGGCTCTTGTACAGCCCGAGACACGTGTTTCGTCCTTACAGACTCGTCAGCTGGGTAAAACCCGTCGTCTTTCGATCTTTTAAGTCAGTTCTTTCGGGAGCCCTACTCTCTACAGAGATTCATCGAAGACGAACGTTTTACACTCCATGTTAAGCGAAAGGACTGACGAGTCTGTAAGGACGAAACACGTGTCTCGGGCTGTACAAGAGCCCTTACGAGACCACATGACAAGATGGCTCAATCAATAATGAAAGAATACCAAATTCATCAACCAAAAGCAGTTAAAATTGCAGGATAATGATATCATGCTTCGAGCAGTTCGTGAGGTCTAAGTGCTGGACAGGCGCCTGTTTCGTCCTCCAGCACTGATCAGTAGCACAGCCTTCTTCGGTTCGGGCGATCCCCTGAGGATATACTCTTTACTGATGAGTAATGGAGGATAAACAAGGCGTCTGTCTAGCACTTAGACCTCACAAACGGCTCAAAACATGCTAAATTATTATCCGACTTATTATCTTCGAGCGAGGTCTATAAAAAAGCGGTCTGATGGAGAGGTAAACTGCATGATTATGGTGTCGTTTATATCCCGTATTTTCCTAATAACATTTTGGTATACAACATGCCTATGCTTGCTTTAAGATGGAGTTCTCATGGGAACAATTCTCTTGTTACTCAAGCACGAATGGCGCGTGGGGGAAAATGCTAGTGAAGCGGCGCGCAAGAGTCATAGAGCTCGAGGCGAGGATACGGTTGCAGAAAGGATGGCTAGAAGTGGTTCGCAAAGTTCAAAGCTGGAGAGAACAGTCCGGAGGACTAATTTCGCTCGGGACGCTCTTAGGAAGCTCCATTAATCTTGCGCGCCGCTTCACTAGCATTTTCCTTTCAGCGCCATTCGTGCACAAGGACCTGGCGAATTTGTTCCCACAACATCTTCATCCTAAAGCAAATATGGGCAAGTTATACACCAAAATGCTCGCAAGAAAACGCGTAATTCAACTAGAATTACTTCTGGTTGATAGATTTGGTATTTAAAAGCTGCAGTGCCAAATCTTATGGACGATTTGGTAATATAAACAGAGAACGATCAGCACCTGATGCTTCAGTCGATGGGGAACTGTCATTTCTCCAGCTGTCGAACTCATCCTGGAAAAAAATAGCAGAATTTAGAATAAATTAATGCGTAAATGTAAGAATAAAAGCAGTGAAAGTAAGTAAAAGTACTAGCAGATATAATGAAATTCTTCGACATCAATGAATCACTTCCATAAAGTAGGATACTGAAAGACCTTAGTAGAGGACGAACGCGAGAAAAACAAATCGAATGCTAGACATGTTGGGATCCGTCAAGTAGATTGTTCTGACGGGTCGTAAGTGAATAAATGAATAGATAAACAGATAGATCAAAAAGTAAACAAATAAATAAAGTGAGTAAATAAAAATCCGCGGTTCTTTCTGCTGGTTGGCGACAAATGAAAAACCGATCTCATTCGCTGGACAAGAATTTTCCTTGTGGGCCTTAGGAGTCGTTCAGAAGCTCAGATCTCTGGCTTGGGCCGGACGTCACCGGTTTTCAGAACAGCATTTTAAGATGCTGTAAAATCCAAAATAAAACACTTAACGCATCGACTTAACGCCTTTATTTTTATCACGCGTATAATTTCATGGAAGCACGAAATCATATGATCGTGTAGAGAAAATCTCGTGGCATCTAGGTCAATCGTTTTATTTGGAGTTTCTTCCAAAGCGGAGAAACATTTCCTAATTGAATGACAAGGATCGCACTTCCATAAGACTGGTTGGTAATCGATCGACCACGGCGCGATCCCACCCGCCGCCTCACCCAGCGACCCGTGAATTGGCCAAAAAGCACTTGTTCGCCTATGCGAACTCAATCTTATTTCCCTTGCTGCACTGCAGAGAAACGGCCTTTCCAGAGAATGAGCACAGCGCTGGAATCATTGGAATTTACGCTATCAATGATTACTAAAAATCCAAAGAAAGAGCTCTGCCCGGTAAGGTGTGAAACACAAATATTCTCATTCTACAGCGCTATCAAAAGAGCAGTTCTGTTAAGCGAGATCTAAGGGAGATAGAGGATGAAGGATAAAGCTCTCGGCGTTGATCAATCCATGAGGGATGCGTCATGCATTCGACTTCAATTTTTAACTTCGTTTCAGGTGATTGAATGCATATCTGGCCTTTATAATGACTCGCGGTGGCCTCCCGCTGAACCGAGTCAGTGCTGCTTATCCTCCCAGACAAGTCTGAGACCAGTCGGGTTCCAATCTGCCGACCCCGAAAGGATGGATGGTATAGTGAGCCATGAGCGCGAGATCGAACCAGTGACCTCGAGTGCGACGCAGGGCACCTCTAACCACTGCGCCACATGCGCTCCTAAGCGAGATAGGATTTAAAGACGCGTCGTCGTGGAACATAATTTTAATTTGGATTTTACAGCGTCATAAAAGGGTGTTTCGGTAAACCGGCCACGTACGCTTCAAGCCAAAGATCTAGGCTACCGGAAGACTACTAGCACTCCTATGAAAACTTCTTGTCCATCGAATGAAATTGGTCCTTCATTTGATCTCGGATAACGGAAAAGTATCAAATCCGCTTTGCCTTCCCTAAGAGAAGTCGCATCAAAGTGAGATTGACACGTGAGAGAACTGGAAAAAGTCTCTTGACTTCTGAGTTTCAGTCACTACTGGAGGAGAGGGAGGGTGGTAGGGGGAGGACTGGGGACGGGGTTGACAGGGGAGAGGTTTGAACATCGCTGACTCGGGATTGAACAGGCTCACCTCTTCTTCACCACTTGCTTTACCAAACCTTCTCTCAACCGTTTGCCGACGATGAGGGCCTTTTTGATGCTCACTGCTCGACGTCAGACCTCACTCAGCTGCTGTAACGGCGAGGTCGCGCCTCGTGGGAAAGCAGGCTGGCAGGCAGACATGCAGATGCCGTCTGGCTGACTGCCGCGCACGCGGCGGCGCGACACCGCCTTCCTGTCAAAGTGGCCCCAAGGGGTTAAATGAAATTCGACTAATGATGAGGGAAAATATACGCAGTGAAAGCATTCAGCCTACTGTAGTAAGAAAATTACGCAAAACAGTTACGAACTGCTTACAAAATTAAATAATAGGAAAAATAAAAATTAGAAAAGACAAAAAATAAAATTTACGAAACGCATGGTTATTATAATTGGCATGCTGTAATAATAATAGTACGCAAAATCCCTGCGGACTTGCTGAACGTGGCGTAAACTACGTGCGTTTACATTTTGGGCCCGTAAGGTTTAGGAGCCCTGGCGGAACCCTGTGCGTTGACCCCTGAGTTGACTGTGGAACCATAGCCCAGTAGTAGTTTTCATTCTAAATGGGTCTGCGGTGATCCATGGAGGCCTCGAACCCGTCTTTGTTCTGAGTTTTCGCTTCCAAGCCTGGAGGATCTTTCCACCAATGAATGTAAATTGATCTTGAAGCGCTCCTGGAGAGTCGTGTTCCCATCAGTTTTTTAAGCCTAAACCGAAGCCTGAGCGTACTTTCGTGATTTCATACTCAACGAGATCATCCTTCAAAAGACCTTCGTAAATCTTCCGTTTCGAGTGTTTTCTCAAGACCACAGCTCAGGTTCCAGTATGCCTGGTGGTCATTTTTGAGCCATGCATGTCAGTGGTCTGTCAAAGAGGGCTGACTTATAGAGCCCGATACGCGTGTTTCGATCTTGCGATCTCGTCAGTCGGGCAGTTACCCTTCTTTCTCGTCTTTTCCCAACACTGTGTGGGTGCTGCAGTCCCCACACTAAGAGGCAGCGACGGCGAACGTTTTACACTCTGTGTCTTTCGTAGGTACACGTCGTAAATCAGTGGGACAACAACGCTCCACAAGGGTGATTCAGACAGTGCATTTTTCTGAAGAGTTTCCAGAAGTGGTTTTTTTTTCTGATGTCTGCACGACAACTTCTTGTTGCTTTTTTATTCTGTTTTGCCCAGCGTTATAGAGTGATGTGCAAAACTTTAGCGCCAGGCGGTCCTAAGACCCGCACCTCACTTTTCGGGAGTGCGTGCTATATCCATTACGCTACTGATGCCCATTTTACACATCGCGGGTTCTAGTCTCGCCTGGCGCTAAAGTTTTGCACATCACTCTATAACACTGGCTATATATTTGAAACATCATACCACCGCCTTTAGCTGTCAAGTAAAAACAAATTTCATTTGATCTCTGTTTTTTTTCCCTCTTTTTTTCTTTGCTTCACCGATAGTGGAAAGAACGAGAAGCATGGCTTCGTTATGGGACTTTCAAGGCCATCCACTTATTGATTTCTGTAAAAAGGAAATCTATAGAAAGTAGTTTTCAGACTGCACTGGGTATAAGCTATATTGCGCAGAGCTACGTTTATGTTATGGAAAGTGTAGCTGAAAAGGTTCTTTATCGAGAGAAATAGTGAAAAAAAGAGGAGTCATATATAATTGATATTTTCGCCAATGATCTGTTAATTTTAGTCGTTCCATGACTTTTGCACCCGAGTAATAAACACCAAATTCATCAACTTGAAAACCCAATGATGTAGAGTGGTGTGCAGAAACTGCGTCAGCCGAGATTTGAACCCAGGTCTTAATTTTTTTTCGGTGGTGCAACGGTTTAGCACATGCTCTTGGAAAGAGTAAGATCTGGGTTCAAATCCCAGCTGACGCAAACGTTTTTGCACATCACTCTGCATCATCATTGGGTTTATAGTAACATCATAACACCGCAATATGCGGTCAAATAAAATGGTTTCGGATTTATTAGCTTGAAGTAAATGAAAATGCACGGTTTCGGTATCGATTGAATGCGCATTTTCTTGCGAACGTTTTGATATACAACTTGCCTATATTTGTTCCAAGATCGAGCTGTTCTGGGGGACAAATTCGCTTGCTACTCATGCACTATTGGGGAGTCGGGGGATCGAATGCTAGCGAAGCGGCGCGCAAGATGACTCTTCAGGAGACGATAGTTAATCGATCGATCGCACAGCGCAACTCGCAAGAGGCGCGTAATTTCCTTTATTTAGTCGGGGTTTTTTCCTTTATTTGGAAAGTGAAAGATCAATTTTTTGAGTTATTCTGATGCTTCATGATTTTCTCTACATGATCATATGGTTTTCGTTCATATATAAGTTTTCTGTATTGATAAGAAACCTTGAGTGCGAAATGTAATCTTCTTCTCCCTCCTACAGTTTTCTGTGATAACCTCTCCAGAAACCAATTACAGCATCGAAATCCTCGAGATTTGGCCTATCGAATGACTAGTAAAAACGTTCGCATCAGCCGGTATTTGAACCCAGATCGTACTCTTTACGGGAACATGTGCTAAACCGTTGCACTACCGACGCTCGTTTTGCACTCCACTCTTTCTACGGCTTCAAATCCCGGCTCACGCGAACGTTTTTGCACAGTACTCAACATCATTGGTTTATTCAAAGCATTCATAACACCGCAATCGGCGGTCAAGTAAAGATGATCTACGATTGATTAGTAAGAGTTTAACGAGAGCTGCCGATGGTGAACTATACGCGCAACATAATAAGTGGCTTTTCAAAGATGTAGATTACCACAGATTTGAGTGAATACAAGTTGGTTTGTCCAGCGGAAAGGCTTGTCATCTACCCGGAATTGAATGGAGCTCCGAGGCGATAGTACGATTGCAGAAAGAGCGGCTAGGAAGTGGTTCGCGAAGTTCAAATCTGGATAGAACAGCCTTGGGGATCAGTCGCGCTCGGGGCTCCAGAGCTCATTAATCTTGCGCGCCGCATCACTAGCACTTTCCTGTGCGCGCTATGCGTGAATGAGTAGCAAGCGAAATTGTTTCCACGATAGCTCCATCTTAACCCTATCGGTACGCGTGGACCTGCGACCTCTTCTTCTAAACCTTGTACGGTCTGCTCCACCTCTGCATCTGTAACCCCCACTCGTGCTGTGCGTAGTAATCGCAGACTGTTGCGTCTAACAGTGCTGCCTGCTGCGCTCAACGGTGGCGCACTGGGGGTCAGAGATGTGGAGGAGGTGGAGCAGACCGTCCAGAGTTGCCACTTATACATGCGGAGGCCGTGGGTCTACCGGTTCCGCAAGCGGTGAGGCAAGTATAGGCAAGTTGCATATCAAATGGTCGCAAGAAAATGAGCAAGTGAACGCTGCTGAACCATGCAATTTGATATCCTGGTTAATGAGTTGGGTTATGATCAGTCCCAAAGCCTATGTAACGACCTAATATGTGATTTTTACTCTAACTACCCGTTATCCCATTTATTTTGGACCTCAGCACTTCTAGCATTCGATTCGGGTCCATGCAATCATCTACGCTAAGGTCTTTCAGCTTTCGTTTGATACGACTGCTGCTTAGTAATCTCGTCTTCTATATACGTCTAGATACTAAACTTTATTTCGAGTGCTTTAATATCAAAACGCACGCTCAAATGTTCAATAGATCCTTTCATTATTATTTGAAATGCACTCGAAATAAAGTTATAAAAAGATAAAGGATAACTCATCGCGTTGATCATCCCTGAGGGATTCGCCAATGCTTCGACTTCAATTTTTAACTTCCGTTTGAGGTGATTGAAGTCATATCTGGCCTTTACAATACTCGCGTAGGCCTCTCTGAACCTAGTCAGTGGCTGCTTAATCCTCCCAGACAAGTCTGAGACCTGTCTGGTACCAATTGTAACCGGGGACCCCGGAGGGATGGATAGGCTTGGTGGAGCCATGAGCGCGAGCATCGAACCACTGACTCATGTGCGACGCAGGCACCTCTAACCACTGCGCCACATGCGCTTGTTTAATTACCCAATTTAATTAATAAAGGTGTAATGTGATAGAAAATACCAGCCAACGAGCGAGTGCGAAAAACACTCTGTGTTAGTGAAAATTTGCGCTTGACATAGAGTGTAAAACTTCGTCTTCGATAACTCTCTGTAAGGGGCAGAGCTCTCGCGAGGACTAACTAAGAAAAAAATATGAAGACGACAGGTTCTCTGCCCTATTTACGAGTCTATAAGGACGACACGTGTACCGGGTTGTTACAAGAGGCCTTTCCAGACCACATGACAAAGTTGGCACAAATAATCATGAAGAGTCATTCACTGGTCTGGCAAATCTTGGATCCCTGAGGTAGCCAGGCTCGGGCGTTCTTCAGGGTATTCAATGATGATTACGGAAAGTTTTGAGAGTCAACCCCGCACCGAGCATCTCAACACTTGACCATCTTTGCCCGCTCTAACACTCAGCTTTGTAAGTACTTTTCGGTTATGAGGAGACAAATGAATATCCAACCTCATTCGCTGTACAGGAACTTTCCCTGGGAGTACTAGTAATTGTTTCAAACCTTGGATTTCTGGCTACATCCCCACATAGCCATTTCTCAAAGCACCTTTTTATAACGCTGTAAAATAAAAGAAAAAATTATGTTCCCATGACCAAGTGCTTTTTTTCCTTATCTCGCTTATATTTCGCTGGACAAAACCCCTTTTTTAGAGTGCTGTTGCTCATCCGATAGCACAAGTCTCGAAGAACTCAAAACGTCTGTGATTTTTCCCATTGCTCGTTTGATAGCGCTGTAGGGAAAGGAAAGATATTCAATATTATATCAGATATCAAGTATCAATATTTCCAACGCTATGCATATTTTCTTAAATACCGTTTGGCAGGCAAAATAAGATCGAGTTTTCCATCCTCGGCGAGCCTGTTTATCGGTCAATTCACGGAGCGGGCAGAAAGACGGGGCCAGGAGGGACTTTTGGAATTTTTATCCGTTTTAAAAAAACTCCAGATAAAACGATTGAATGAAATTCTTTTTATTTAACCGCTCTAGCGGTGGTATGATGTTAGACAAATGGATACCCATTGATGTAGAGTAATGTACAAAACTTTCGCGTCTGGCGGATTAGAACCCGCACCTCATTCTTTCCGGAATGCGTGCACTATCCGTTACACTACTGACGCTCATTTTGCACATCGCTCTTTCTACGCTACATCGCATTTATCTATCAGCCGCCACCCCTCAACGTCCTTGCCGGCGTAGTCGATCTCGACATTGAACCCAGTTACACTGACAGATGTTGGGTAATGGAGATCAAATGAAATTCTATTTATTTACGGCGTTGACGGCTGGCGGCTGATAGATAAATGCGATGTAGCGTAGAAAGAGCGATGTGCAAAATGGGCGTCAGCAGTGTAACGGATAGAGCACGCATTCCCGGAAAGAGTGAGGTGCGGGTTCTAGTCCCTCCTGACGCGAAAGTTTTGCACATCTTTCTACATCAATGGGTAAAGCGATTGACCCGGATAGTACGAGAGCTCCTCTACACGTTGGTAAGCTTTTCGTGCTCCCAGCGAATTGATCGCGTATAGGAAGAAGTCGCACTGCGTGATTGAAACACTTTTTCCTTTAGTGGATGCCACAGCGTTATAAATGAGTTTTGAAAAACTGGCCATGTGGGACTGTAGCCAGCAGTCTAAGCTTTCGAATGGTTGCTAACACTCCCGTGAAAAATTCTCGTGCAGCAGATCTGGTCGAATATTCATTTGCCGCCTTATAACCGTAAAGTAGGAGCGCATGTGGCGCAGTGGTTAGAGGCGCCCTGCGTCGCACACGAGGTCACTGGTTCGATTTCGCGCTCATGGCTCACCAAGCCATCCATCCCTCCGGGGTCGGTAAATTGGTACCAGACAGGTTTCAGACTTGTCTGGGAGGATAAGCGGCACTGACTCGGTTTAGCGGGAGGCCACCGCGAGTCATTGTAAAGGCCAGATATGCATTCAATCTCCTCAAACGAAGTTAGAAAATGAAGTCGAATGCATGGCGCATCCTCAGGGATTGATCAACGCTGAGAGTTTTATCCTTTTATCCTTCAGCCGTAAAGTGCCACTCCGTAATTTTTGATGTTGGCATGCTGTCTGCCTTACCATATCATAATTGTGGAAAATGCCTTTCGCTACACCATTTGTTTTCCTTGAAATGCATAACCGTGATTTTGTTCCGGATTTCAGCATAATGTTGGCTGGCGAGGAGGTGTTCAAAAATCCTCTAGACAGCGTCGAAGACGAACCTCTCAATGACAACAACACTGCGTCGCAACCTTTGCCGACGTCCAAGGATTCTCGTGGCGATTCGTCGCCTATCAGAGCCATTGACACCGCTTCTGATGGACTGAACAGCGCCGAAGCCATTGCCAACGACAACAGATTTGTGAGTTCTTCAAGCAGTGATAATTGGCCACATAGCAAGGCGTGTATAGTGAATCTTACGCGAGCTGGGTACATCTTCCAAAGGTTGTCTCAAGCCTGACAAAACGGCTCTGAGCAAGGCGGATTCGCTCAAACGTCAGCCATTGATTTTTGAAGAAAAATTACCAACCTCGCGCAAATTTCTAATAAAAGTATAGCTTATGAGTAACAAATATGTGGAGTGCTGTGCAAAAACGTTGGCGTCAGCCGGGATTCGAACCCAGATCTCACTCTTTCCGGGAGCGTGTGCTAACCGTTGAGTCGGTAGTGCCGTTTTTAGATCTGGGTTCGAATCCCGGCTGACGCAAAACGTTTTTGCACAGCACTCCACATATGGGGTATACTATAACATCATACCACTGCGAGTGGCAGTCAAAATAATAATTTAGACTTCTTATAAGATATTTTCCCTTATTTTTTATCTCATGCGATCCATTATTACCTATCTTGTTCGGATCTCAGTACTTCCAACACTCGTTTCTCTTCCTCGAATACATTGTCCCAGAGATTTCCGACCATCTAGCTAGTGGATTCGACCGCTGTTTGAGGGTATCGTCTCCATGGAAACGGAAGGCTAGTGGCTAGTGACGCCACGTTATCAGTTAGCGACGTCCTGGCTTGACCATCTCTTCAACAGTCTATTGTTGCCAGTTAGCGGACGTCTTAGATCCGGCCCTTCGAGGTTTCAATTTAAGGTCTTCCATCAGTATTCCAAGGCATTCATAAAACGACATCTCCAAGCAGCAGTCGAAACAACACGCGAAATGCTTGAAGACCTTTAGTACGATGAATGGGAGGAAACGAGTCAAATACGAGAAGTATTGGGATCCGGACAGTGAAATGTGATGAGGGATGGTGTAAAATTTAGAAAAGAAGATAAGTTCATGAGATATTTTCCATGTTTTATCTGTACGTAAACAATCTGGGTCACGCGTAAGGCGGTCTAAAGCAAATCATTTTCCCATCTAACAAATGTGTGCTGTTTAATTTTACAGAGTCACGTCATCTATTTTTGTCAGTATTCTTAAAAAATACCTGGAAATGTAAATTCTACTTTTTTATCGAAACTTCGTTAACTCAGTGGAAGAGGTGACGTACAGTAATGCGCACA